CTGGGGCAGGATAATGGGGACGCATGGGGGCCTGGTGTTTTCTTCTCTGGGTTAGGGTCAGGGGTGGTTACGGCGGGGTCCGGTGCTCTGGGCTAGGCGGCCCCATCCACGGTTTTGGGTGAGGGTGCAGGGGGTGCCAGGGCCGGGCGGCTTCGCAGTGTTCCTGTGGTTCGAGGGCCCGTTGGTGTGCATTGACATTCGGATGTACGGGAGTAGATTGGGTGAGGTGTGTATGTCGGGATCTTCACGCTCTTGCTCTTGGAGCGGCTGCCTGTCGATGGGTCGAGGGTTGACGAGGGCAGGCGGGAGGACACGGAGAAGCAGCGTTCTTTTTCGTTTATCCCGCGTGCTTTTGCTAATTGGTTGCAGGCTTTCGCGATTGTGGCCAGTGTCATTGGGGAAACGGCCCCTGAGCATTGCTCGGCGTTTTCTGTTCCCTTGACGCTATTAGCAAGGCTCCTGGGTTTAAGGGGGGATCGCTGGGCTACGGTGCGATGCACAGTTTCGGCAGCGTAGGGCGGTTTACCCGTCATTGCGCTGGGACTATACGGTCCGTGGCCTTTGGATACAGCTCATGACTCCGGCGAGGCCCTCTGGTCTGTTTTCGGGGTGGGCTGGTGGTTCGTTCTCCCCGGGACAATCAGCCTCAAAGCGTAGGGGTTCTGCTGGCGGTTCCAGTTTTGTTCGGAGGGTTTCCGCATTCCGTGTACTTTGACTTCGATTCCTCCTTTTAACGCGGAACTCACGGTCGGCCTTGCAGTATGCAGCGGTGGTTTCGGATAAGTTGCGTAAGGAAGTGGATTTAGACCGCGTGGGCGGCCCGTTTTCCTTTTTCTCCCTTGGGGGGTTGTGCCCAAAACGGAGCCTCATGCGTTTCAGTTAATTCCTCACCTGTCCTTCCTGGCAGTGGGGTCGGTGACCGACGCCATCGATACAGAGTCAGGTGCGGTGTATTATACGTCGTTCGATGCGGCAGTTTTCTGGGTTCTTCGGTATGGGCGTGGTGCGCTCCTGGCGTTATGGGATATTGAGTCAGCGCTTCGGCTGTTGTGGGTACATCCGGCCGGTCTTTGTGTTTTTGGGTTGTCGTTGGGAGGGCTCGTTTTATGTTGTGAAGTGCCTTCTCATGGGGTGGTTTTATATCCTACGCTTTGTTTCGAGCAGTTCAGTTCCTGCATGGAGTGGGTGGTGGGGATGTCTCCGGGGTGCCTGCGGTCATCCGTTATTTAGATGATTTTCTTTGTGTGGGTCCGCCAGCTTCCGGGGTCTGTGCAGTTTTTGCTGGCCACTTTGCAACACATTGCACAACGTTTCGTTATTCCGCTGGCGTTGGACAAGACGGAGGGCCCGGCTGCGGTGATTACTTTCCTGGGCGTTGTTTGGATTCCGGAGCTGTGGAGGGCCGGCTGCCTGAGGACAAGCTGTTGGCCTTCAAAGTTGAGATTCGTGGGGTACTGGGCAAGTGTAAGTTTCAGCTGCGGGCCTGGCAGTCGTTGTTGGGCAAAGCTTACCTTCGCTTATCGTATACTGCCGATGGGTTGGGTGTTCTGCCGCCGATTGCAGATTTGGCTCACCTTTTTGGATTCCTTCAACAGGCGAGCTCTGTGGATGTCTGGCCCTGGGAGCTATTTTGACCTGGATTTGTTCCCGGATGCGGCAGCTTCCGGGGGATATGGGGCCTTTTGCTGAAGTCGGTGGAGCGCGGTTCCATGGCCTGCTTCCTGGTGGGAGGCGGGGGGTTTGTTCTTCGTATCTTGGTGCTGTTGGTATTTTTTCCGGTGGTGCTGGTGGTTGCCGTGTGGGGGGGAGCATTTTTCGGAAGTAAAGGTTCTTTTTCGGTGTAACATTTTGGGGGTGGTTCGGGTCATCAATCGGGTCTCAGCTTCTTCGCGGCCGGTGGTTGGCCTGCTTCGCCATTTCGTGTTGCGTTGCCTGCAGCTGACCATTTTTCTTCATGCTGTGCATCTCTCCCTGGGATTGAGCAAACTCAGGTTGTCGCTTTGGCTCATTTTCCGTGGGACACATTCCGAGGGTTGGTGCTGGGGGAGGAGCACCGCGGGGTTCCTTGTCCCGACTGGCTGTGGAATTTTGCCTTGGGGTCGTTGCAGGCGGGATCCGGTAGTCGGGGAGTGTGGCGACATGGTCTGCATACTTGACTTACATGGTGTGGGACCCATCGTTGGTATGGTGTGCCCGGGTACATTCCAGTTAACCAAGGTTTAACTGGCAGGTGGTGGTGCTGCACTGCGGATGGTTTATGGTTGTCTCCGAGCTGGTTGGTTGCATCTGGAGGGCCTAGTGGCATATGGTTGTCCGCAGGTGCATTTTTACTGGCGGGAGTGGTGGACCTGCTGCTGCGGGTCAATATTGATCCATGGGGGCCTGAGGTGGGTTCGCTGTGTTGTAATTTTGGCACGGAAATTAGAGCGGGGGGTGTCGGCTGCTGTGTTTGATTGCCGGTTGGCTGGTTTGGCCTTCTTCTTACGTTGCTGGGGTGTCGGGGTTTTCACAAAAGCCTTTTTGGGTTCGACAGGCCCTTCGGGGTTCCAGTAGGGCTCATCGCTGAAGGGATTCACGGCATCCGGTGTCCGTTGAGTTGTGGGGGTCTTGGTTTGTGCGCCTGCGGTCTGTGTGTATTTCGGGCTTCGAGGTGTTTGTTTCGGTACGGCCTTTGCGGTGGCCTTTTGGGGGCATTGCGTTTTTGGTGAGTTCGGTAGTCCGTCTACATCAGTTTATTGGGGGGTTATTGGGGGATGTGGTCGTGTGCTGGGTTTACTGGGGTGGAGGTGCTCGTCCATCGGTCTAGGACGGACCAGTTGGGGCGTGGTGCATGGGGTGCAGTTCTTTGCTCTTCCAGCATCTTATGTGTGCCCAGTGGGGTGTGGTGGCAGATTTTCTATCCCATCGTCCGGTGGGGCAGGGGTCCTTTTTTTCCAGCACGCTGAGGGGTCCTCTTAATTCACTTTGTGTCAGTTTTTCTGACAGTGTTTCACGGCGGCTGGTTGGATGCGTCCTTGTGTGCTTCGCATTCGCTTTGGATGGGGGCTACTACGGAAGCTGCCGGGTGGGGTTTGTTGGCTATGGGTCGCACGTATGGTAGGTGGGATTCACGGAGATTTTGACTGTGCGTTCGTCCGCATCTGTTGGGGGTCTAGTGGGGTCTCGTGTTCTGTTGTCATGGCCTGGGGGGAGTGCCTGTCCTGTCTGGGTGATGTATTGTCCTGGGGGGTATTGCTTGTCCTTTTCTTTCAGAGGGAGCGGTGTGGCCTGGTGTGGATCCTGGGTCTCTCCTATGTGTTCTTGGGGGCCCGGTGGGCTATTGTTAGGCCTACTGGTAGGTGGTTGGGGTTGGCTAGGCAGGAAGCTTCTGTCGGCTGGATGGGTGTGCCGGGTATGTTGTGGGGTCGTGTGCTGCAAGGGGGGGCAGCGTTTTGACTCGATCGGGATGGCCCACTGGATGTCCGGGTGCTTCCTGCGGGTGGCATCGATCTGAAGGTCGACAAGGAGGTGGGGCGCTTCTTTGTCCGTAATGGGGGGCTGGTGGTCCGGCATCTGGAGCTAGAGGTGGATGCTTGGAGGTATCTTTGGAGTGCTGGGGTACATCTGACTGCGGTTGGAGCGGATTTCTGGTCTCTGGGTCTAAGGAATAGAGTTCGGAGGGGTTTGTGGTGGTGTGGCACGCATGGGTAAGGGCTCACCCAGCGTGCTGTGGCGGTGGTTGGTCTTTGGAGGCGGTTCTTATCTTGGAGGTACAAAATGGTGTGGGACCCATCGTTGGTATGGTGTGCCCGGGAACATTCCCAGTTAACCGAGGTTTTAACTGGAAGGTGGTGGTGCTGCACTGCGGACAGTATGGTTGTCTCCGAGCTGGTTGGTTGCGGCTGGAGGCCTAGTGGAATATGGTTGTCCGCAGGTGCATTTTTCGGATCGTTTTGGTGGTGCCTTCAAAAGATCAACGACAACTCTTTATGTTTTCTGTTATAAGGAATGGTTGATGTGTTTAAACTTGATTGGTTAATAAAAGGCCGTGCTGGCCATTTACTCCAAAATTGGTGTTGTGTTTTCTGTTAAGTATAGTAAGTAAAGGGGATTGGTATGGAAGGGTAATGGTGGTGTAGTGGGGTCTGGATGAACCTATCTCGGGTGCACTAGTCAGAAATGCCCGCAGCGGAAAAAGAAGAAAAGAATTAGCGCAGGGCAGGCATGACTAGGCCCAGAGTGGGAAGGAAGATGTGTAAGGGTTAATGTTAGTATTAGGGTTGGTAAAGGATAGCTGGGGGATCTGGTTGGTAGAGGAGAGTGTAGGTGGGGTCTCCTGCACTTTAGGGTGGAGTGTTCTGGGGAGGGGCATCAGTTGGGAGCTGGACGTGGGAAAGAGAGCTTCCCTCCTCCCGCCCGCCCTGTTTGGTGAATGTTGTGTTCCTCCTGGGGGGGGGGGGGTGATTTTGGTTCCTGGGCGGTGGTTGGTCTTTGGAGGCGTGTACCAGGGGTTCTTATCTTGGAGGTACAAAATGGTGTGGGACCCATCGTTGGTATGGTGTGCCCGGGAACATTCCCAGTTAACCGAGGTTTAACTGGAAGGTGGTGGTGCTGCACTGCGGACAGTATGGTTGTCCCGAGCTGGTTGGTTGCGGCTGGAGGCCTAGTGGAATATGGTTTGTCCGCAGGTGCATTTCGGATCGTTTTGGTGGTGTGCCTTCAAAGATCAACGACAACTCTTTATGTTTTCTGTTATAAGGAATGGTTGATGTGTTTAAACTTGATTGGTTAATAAAAGGCCGTGCTGGCCATTTACTCCAAAATTGGTGTTGTGTTTTCTGTTAAGTATAGTAAGTAAAGGGGATTGGTATGGAAGGGTAATGGTGGTGTAGTGGGGTCTGGATGAACCTATCTCGGGTGCACTAGTCATGAATGCAGGATCCAGGGAGTCCAGATATAGTGAATGCAGGGTCGGGGAGACCAGATATAGTGAATGCAAGGTCCGGGGAGACCAGATATAGTGAATGCAGGGTCCTGGGAGACCAGATATAGTGAATGCAGGGTCTGGGAGACCAGATATAGTGAATGCAGGGTCCGGGGAGACCAGATATAGTGAATGCAGGGTCCGGGAGCCCAGATATAGTGAATGCAGGGTCCGGGGAGACCAGATATAGTGAATGCCGGGTCCGGGGAGACCAGATATAGTAAATGCAGGGTCCGGGGAGACCAGATATAATGAATGCAGGATCCAGGGAGACCAGATATAATGAATGCAGGGTCCGGGGAGACCAGATATAGTGAATGCAGGATCCAGGGAGACCGGATATAGTGAATGCAGGGTCCAGGGAGACCAGATATAGTGAATGCAGGGTCTGGGGAGACCGGATATAGTGAATGCAGGGTCCGGGGAGACCAGATATAGTGAATGCAGGGTCCGGGGAGACCAGATATAATGAATGCAGGATCCGGGGAGACCAGATATAATGAATGCAGGATCCTGGGTTTAGTATCACTTTAAGGCGATGTCAAAGCAAAGAGGCGTTTTTTGGTGGCATTTTTTTTTTTAACTGAACAAACATGCCCCAAAGATGCTGCAAGCATGAGTTTTTACACCGCAAACAGAAGCACAATGCCCCGTGTGAAAACATACATAGACATACATAGGGAAACATTTTTCTTGAGCTTTTCAGGCGCTTTTTGTTTTCTAATGCAAAAGCGCTTCAAAAAACTCCCTAGTGTGAAAGTAGCCTTAGTGGAAGTCTATTCCAAGCATCAAGTGCTATTTTGGTAATTATTACTAATAAAGGGGATTGAAGCTTCCTGTTTTCACTTTTGTTTTCCACTTTCCGGTGAGTGCTCAGTCCAAAGTGCAGAGTCTACATCCAAGTGACTCGAGCATTTGCTTACAGCATATATGAGCTTGAAACCTGGTCAGCTTGTAAGCAGGGTTGGCACCCCTTTTATGGAAACCCCTCCCCTGGGTGGATGTTGTGGGCGGGGCGAGTTTAGTCCCATACAGTCTAGAGCTGGAAAAGCCTTGGGCAGAGGGTGATGGGAGAGGCTACCCCAAGTATACTGCCATGTAAGCTTGCAGCCTTAGGAAGTGAACCCTTTCTGGGTAGACCCAGTACAGGCTCCATTGGCAAGCCCACCAATGGGAACCTACAGTGAGGACAATGGAAGAGTTGGGTGACTATTCTTTGTTAATGTTGGAGTTGCACTGTGCAGATTTATCAGTGCCAGAACTGAAGAGGTGAAGGGTGTGTGATGGCCAAGAATTGTACATTATGTTTCTGCTTCAGTAAAAACATTAGGAGGCTGAATGTGTCAACGTTCCTTATTTCTGAGTGAGTGATCAAAGATGGGCGGAGTTTCTCCACATTACAGGTGTGTGTCCCTGTGTAAAAGGATGGCGGGAGGGACCCTTTGCCAGCATTGCCTTTGCTGGTGGCAAATGAGGGCCCTGCTAACAAGCTATTTATCCCACATGCAAATCCCAGCCCTTTCTTCCCTTTTGCAGACTATAGTCTGGGTTCCCATCCACCCACAATCCAGTCCAAGAAACAAAGTAATGCTGAAATCTGACCTCATAAGACCCTCTTCAGCTTTAAATCATTACAAATCAGTATTAAAGTGGTTGTAAACCCTTACATACAGTATATCGAGTGAAGTGACTGGCCTCAAGTGATATACAGAGATGTAACAAATCCTCCTGTGTATAAGTTGTACCTGTTTGTCTGCAGCCTTCTCTTCTCTACATCTGTTCAAAGTATAGAATTTATAACGCATGTCTGAGATTTCAGAAGGCAATGAGGATAGCTGAGAGCTGATTGGAGGGAAGGGACACACCTCCCTTCACACAGCACACAGGAACAAAGCTGAGGCTGTCAATCACAGGCTGTGTGCTGGAGGTCCCTCCCCTGTCACCTTTTTTTCTCTTGGTGTTAGGAAAACTGGCCAGAAGTGACTCATGTTGATAGCAGAGGAAGAAGACAGTAGACAAAAATGACACTTGGTACTCTAGATTGAGACAAGTACACACTATAGAGGGTATGCTTTGTTCATATTTCATGTCTGAGCAGGGGCGAACTGACAACTCATGGGACCCCCGGGCAATAGGGGATCATGGGGCCCCTGTGTCCTTGCCTAAACTCAAAAAAGCCTATGAAAAAGGTTCCAGGGGCATCTCATGGGGCCCCCTACTGACCCCAGGCCCTCGGGCGGTGCCCGAGTTTCCAAATGGTCAGTCTGCCCCTGTGTCTGAGGTTTATAACCACCTTAACAAGACCAGTAGCATGTTTCAGCTTTGCAGCCTTAGTTATCTTTCACAAGGGCAGTCATGGGGGGCAGTAATAACAGGAAGTTGAGCTGCAATTTTTTACTGCCACCCTAACCACCCACCTAAACCATTGCATACAGCCAGATTGGACTGTACACATGCCATGACTGTGATGCTTTGCAGTGTGGAAAATTTAGCCCAGCTTGTTGAGTTGACAGGTGACTCCACCTGCCAAACTGCCCATTCAAGTCAATGGGACCACAATGCAACTGTGAGTGTAATGCTCACAGTCGGACTCCATAGGTTCCAGCAGGCATTGGATGCGCCCACATATCTGAGGTCGGGCAATGTGGCCCAGGCACAGTTAGAGGAACAAGCACAGAGAAAAGTTGAAAAAAAATAACAAGAGCATGGAACATGTAAATTGGCTTTATTATCACTTTAGGCCCCTCTCACATGGAGTGGAACCGTTAGTGGAGCTGCTTGCTGTGCGGGGGATCTGTGTGCTGATCCCCTCTGAGTAAGCGGATGACAGATCTGTGTCCACTCCGCTTATGCAGAGCAGACATGGACAAGGCCCGCCTGTCCATTTCCATCTGAACTGACAGATAGAAGGAAAACGGATCCTTATCTGTCTCTTTTTTGATGAATCAGATCGGATTGGATGTCGGCGGATGTAAACAGACACTTGTCCGTTTACACCAGCCGCTCCATACAAGAGAATTGATGTTCTGATCGGAAATACAAGCAGGTGAACCCAATCGGAACATCCATGTGAAAGGGGCCTTAACCTCTTGGTGCTGGCCGAACGCAAATGTGCGGCGCCCAGCCACACATTTGCGTTCTATTAAAAAAAACCCATATGTGCTGAGAGTGCGCGCCCAGCACACATTTCCGGTACTCACAGAAAGGTCCCGATCATGTGACCATTGTGACGATGTGTCACGATGGTCACATGACCCTAAACCATGCTCCGCCTCCCGGCTTCTGAAACCCTTAAAGGGCCAGGAGGCGCTGGTGCCAAGGGGTTAAAGTGTTACTAAACCCAAAACAGTAAAATCAGTCTGTATATGCAGTAAAGCATGCTTGTTATACGCACTGTGGAACCTAAGGGGTTAATCCTCTGCATTGTGTAAAAAGGCTGTTTTATCCTTTCTTCTCTGCCCCTCCTCTTGTTGAAATGACCACCTGATACAGACTGAATCTGTAGTCACATGCACATGCTCAGTTTAGTGAGTATTGCTAGAGAGGTTTTTTTTTTCTTTCTTGGGAGAGTGCATGTGATAAGCACAGGGCCAATCAGCACTGTCCAGACAGAGGTCAGAGGTTTCACATCCTCCTAGAGCAGAAAGAAAACTCCTCCTGCAAGCTTTAACCAGTGCTCTGCTGAAGTCACAAGACTGCTCTAACTGCTGATGAGAAAAGGTATTTAGCAGTTTATATTTACTAAAATAATTGCATTTCCATGTTCTGAGTACTGTGGGGGACCAGATATAGTGAATGCAGAGTCCGGGGTTTAGTAACACTTTAATCATCATACTTATCATGTATATAGGAACTGCTTACAAAGAGGCTGCAAGAGATCTGTAGCAATGAGATGCAGCAAAGAATGAAAAAAAGATAAAATCAAAGTAAATAAATAATATAAAATGCTACATATATGATATGTAGGGGAGGCACATAATTAATTCTGGGGAGGTATTAGGTTATTATTAAGTTATTAAAAGATAATCCTCCTCCCCCAACCTCTATGACCCCAGACCTGTTAAAGTGATATTAAACCTAATTACAAAAATGTAATCTATATCAGCTTAACACTCTTTAAATGTGGTGGCTGCATTTGTTTTCTTTTTTTTTAGGCTTTTTTCCTTTATTTTCACATGGTGATCCAACCTACTGTCTTAGGGTGTCTCCACTCTGGATAGATGGGCAACGGAGACACATTTGGACAACAGCATTGCCAGTCTGGGGAGAGTAGTGTTAGACTAAGGAAAGCCTTAGATGATTGGATTCCTTTCCTTCCACCAAAGAAAGAAAATAGCTTGATTCCCACATTTACACACAGTGTTGATGGTGGAATTTATCCCACAGTGCTACTGTGTTCAGCCAACAGGGAGCCTTCCTGACCAGCAGAACACAATGATTGTTGCTAGTGGCTATAGCTGCCAGAAGTAATCACATGTAAAAAAATTTGACAGGCTGTGGTATCCAGATTGATCAATGAATCGACTTGGTCACAACCAGTCTGCCCATGGATGTATCGAATCTTGGCTGAGATGGACTCAACTGTCAAACTGAAGCTAATCTCCGGCTAATACTTTGTAAGCAGTTGCAGCAAACAGTTTTTTTCTCTTTTGAACAAAAATTTTACTTAATGAATAAAAAGTGACTATTGTAAGCACCCTTGTCAGTGTTAAATGGTTTGTCTCAACCCTCTCACTGCTACTTTGTCTGGAAAGCTTGGTCTATCAAGTAAGTTGGAAAATAATAGACTTAGTGGCTGGATCACTAGGGGAAAAATCCTAAAAAAAAAGAGAATTAATGCAGCCATCACATTTAATAGTTAGTAAGCTGCATAATATTTTATTTTTGTTTTTGGGTTTAATACCGATTTAAGTATTCTTCCACTGCGATCTCTGTTACATTGTTTAGCACATCCTAGAACATTCTATTTCTATACACTGTAATCCACATACAAGTTTATGATTCATTTCACATAAATGGCAATACATAGAGAAGTAGAGGGGAGAGCTGAGGCTGAGCGTGAGAGGAATGGAGATCATAGGGGGGAGACGGTGAAATGTTTGAGGAGGATAGTAGGGAGCAGAAGGGAGAGGAATTAGGAGATGTACTGGGGGAAAGCTGGCCAATTGTGGTGTAAGCGGACAGACAGAAAGGGTGAAACCACATGGACACACGAGGGGAATATTGTTACCTTATACACTGGAGTACTGATCGCCGCTCTTCAATAATGAAAGTGGAAGTGCAGAAACACAGTTTCCGTTTACCGCCATAATCAATGTATTTCCCCAGATGTTTCTATTTAGATAAGTTTAATCAGCAAAACGGCTCATATAACACCAGAAGATCTCTACATGTGATTAGCTTGCTTGCAACTTCATATATATATATATATATATATATATATATATATATATATATATATATATACACACACAATATACAGTATATATACAATGTGCATATATATATATATATATATATATATATATATATATATATATATATATATATATACACACACACACTGTAATAGGTCCAACATGAGAAACATCCCCATATCATGATGCTTGCACCACCATGCTTCACTGTCTTCACAGTGTACTGTGGCTTGAATTCAGTGTTTGGGGGTCGTCTGACAAACTGTCTCGGCCACTAGACCCAAAAAGAACAATCTTACTTTCATCAGTCCACAAAATGTTGCGCCATTTCTCTTTAGGCCAGTCAATGTGCTCTTTGGCAAATTGTAACCTCTTCAGCGCATGTCTTTTTTTCAACAATGAGACTTTGCGGGGGCTTCTTGCAGATAGGTGGGCTTCACATAGGCGTCTTCTAATTGTAACAGTCCTCACAGGGAACTTTACACCTTCTTTCATCTTCCTGGAGCTGATTGTTGCTGAGTCCTTGCCATTTTGGCTATTCTTCTATCCATTCAAATGGTAGTTTTTCGCTTTCTTCCACATCTTTCAGGTTTTGGTTGCCATTTTAAAGCATTGCGATCATTTTAGCTGAGCAGACTATCATTTTCTGCACTTCTTTATATGTTTTCCCCTCTCTGCAATCAACTTTTTAATCAAGGTACGCTGTTTTCTGAACAATGTCTGGAACGACCCATTTTCCTCAGAATTTCAGAGAGAAATGCACTGTAACCAGCATGGACAACATTTGCTGCCTTCCTTCTTAAATAAGGGCAATAATTGCCACCTGTTTTTCAAAGAATGAATGACCTCACTAATAGAACTCCACACTGCTATTATTTTGAACATGCCCCTTTCAATTAGTGATTCAATTACACAGAATCAGCAGCATGCATGTCATGACTGTTGGGTCTGTTGGATTTCTATTACTCTACTACACCTGCTAGTAAATTATTTGCCATGTAGAAATATCATTTCCACCAAAAACAGTGATTGATCAGGTTAGTGATGTCTGACTGCATTATTTTGAACACAACTGTGCATATATATATATATATATATATATATATATATATATATACTGTATATTTTTTTTCTATTTTAAACTATTGCTCAGTTTGTGGTTTCACAGCTGTGCATTCAGGTTGTTCACAGCAAATATTTGCCTACGAGAGTTTGAAACTGAACTGTGCACCTGTTATCTGTCCATGCATGTCCACTCACTCCCGGTTCACATATCCGCGTTCATGCGGTCCCGCATTTTGTGCGGGCACAAGGTCCCATTCATTTGAATAGACTCCCGTGCCCAGGACACGCAGGGAAGAGATACCTGCACTTCTTCTGAAAACGCAGCCCGCACAGGAACCTCGGTTACCAGTACGGTTGTGATTTCCAGTGCGGATGGCATTCCATTAGAATTAATGACACCTGCCCGCGCGTCCGCATTCCTCTGTGTGGGTGGTGCGGCTGCACAAATTTTTGTGCAGATCCACAGCAGCACCACTCTGCACAGATGTGAACCTAGCCTTAATGCTTAACCTCCCCGGCGGTATTCCCGAGTGTAGCTCGGGGTAAAATTTCAGTACCACAAGCGGTATCCCTGAGCTACACTCGGGCTTACCATGCGGCGTTGCTCAGGGATTCCCTGCAGCGCTTACCTTGTCCTTCGCTCCCACGATGTGTCCCCTGCAGCGTCCCGGCCATCTCCTCCGGCCGATGCCGGCATCCAGCTTCTGCATTCCGGTCCCTGTGACGTCGGGATGTACGGGCGCCGGAACCGGCGGCAAATTTGACATTTTTAAAATTTTTTATTTTTTTTAAAACGAATTTTACATAGTAAAACATTGCTGTTTCAAACCATTTCACATACATTTTGTCCCGAGTGCTTTGTCCTGTGCCCTGCCTTCATTTTTACTGTTCTTTCTGCCTGGAAACTTAGAAAAGTCCATGGCATCCAAAAAGTGTCCCTTTATGTCAAAAGCGGTTTTAGACCGGCTAGAGAACAGCGATAGTAAATCAGAACCACTTGCAGAATTGAGTGATAATGATTTGTGGGGAAATTTGTCATCAGACACTGAAAACGATTTTGTGACTTTGCTCAGTGATGTGCGAAGTTGGCGCTATATTTCAAATTTCAGTGTTTTTGGTTTGATTTATATTATTGAATTAAATTTATTATTATTATATTATTATTTTTTATGATTATTTATTAAATTATAATTTATGATTTCGTGTTTCAAGTTTTATCATACCCGGTGTGGCAAACTTGCTCATCCTTGTTGGAGCGGAGTCCCCCTTTACACTCTGCTTTTCAGTGTTCTATCTGTTTATCTGAGGCATTTTCAAATCACTCCTCACATCCCCCTGCATTCCTGTGAGGCAGACTTTATCTCCTGGCAAATGGTGTGAAACAACCAGGAAGACATGAGAAGTGGAGCCAGCAGAGGTGTCATTTTTATCACCCAAAACTATGTAAGCCCACTCATTATCAAACGGACCAGAATAAGTGCCCAGTCCTTAATGGTCAACTGTATGGTTCATATCACAGGATATGAGCTAGTAATTTAGTGTAGAGTTCCCCAATGACCACTCCCAAAATGGGTAGTCAGAGCCCCCCTTCCCCTGAGAGGGACCCTTGAAGACTTTTAAGTGAGTTAGAGAAACTCTCACACACACACACACACACACACAGGGATCTCCCAGCAACATCGTAACAAGGGGAGATCAAAGAAGCTTTCTGCTCACAACTTGAATTTGCTAAAACCAGGCAAGGCAAGTAACTTACCCTGTATTTTCTCGCTATTCTATGTTTGCTGTGTCTATATATACATATATATATATTTTTGTGATATCTCTTTGTACATATTTATTTTGCATCCAACGCTTTTAGTAATAAATCTTTCTTTCTGAAAGTGTTAAACTGTTTCTAAGCGCTTACTTGCAATTCACGAATCCCTGCCTTTGAAGAGACGCTACTGTGGTTATATTTCTGTATAGCAGGTCTGCGGGCCGTGCTATATAGATCAATATTTCAATCATTATAGTGTATATTTGGTAACGGGAGTTTCCCAGTCTCCAATAAAGTGGTGGTGGCAGTAGAAGGGTTAGTTGCGTAACTAACCCGACCCAGTAACAAGCGCATCCAGGCTGCAGGCACCGATTGTAGTCCATTAGCTGGGCAATCGCTGTGTAGGGTGCAGCTGGGTAGGGCCTTGTTACGCGCGTCACACCGCGGTTTTGGATCGGCCGGCCCTTCGGTCACGAGTTTGGTGAGAAGGTCTGGGGTCTGACGCCGTGGGCGTGACGTATTACTGTTAGTCGCGGCTGTGCGATTGTCGCCTGTTGGTGGCGGTGACCGCGGGTCGTGACACCCGGGATGTTTAATAGACTCTTGTTTGGACAGATTTCAGTGAGTTATTCCTAAAAATTACAGCCTACAATAAACAAACTACATATTTCCATGCAAAATAAAGGTACCGCTTTCAGCACCAAAAATCGGAAATAATCATACTGCCAGGGAGGATAAAGGATAAGTTCACCAGTCTACAAAAAAGTGTAAAATGTACATTTATTATTTTTTGTAGTAGGAGCCAGTAAAGGATTGCACCAGCCCCTAACATGTTGCACCCTGAATACCTACGCTAAACTTAGGCTTTAAAGCCCACCTTCACCCAATGAAACAACTTGTTTGCACCTGGCTCCTCCCCTCCCTCTCCCACCATTAGATAACAAAATGTTTTTAAGTTTTTCTGACTTTATGTTCTGCAGCACAGCACTTCCTTCATTACCTCTGATGGTGCATGTGCATTTCTGGTTCCACACGTGCACAGGAGTGTCACAGGGCTCAGAGGTCTGTTAGAGATCTGAGGTATATCTGTGTATGCAGATCTCATTGTGCAAGGTCAGATCTCAGGGTGTCTGTGCATGCTTAGGAAACCCCTAGCATGTACGCACATGTCACAGGTCACAGGTCTTTGCTGGTCCCAAACGCCAGGGAAGAGCCCTTTTGGCACATCTGCTCACGTGCTGGATATTAAAAAATGGCAGCATTGGAGAGGGGGGCAGGAGCCAGGGCCAAAATTAAGGGGGACTACAGTTCCTCTTTATAGTCAAGCTCACACCTGAGCAATTTGAAGTGCATTGCCCAAAGTGTTTTAATGCTCAACATCAAGATTCCTATAATATCCATTTACATCTGATCTTTGTGTTACTTCAAGCTCATTGAAAGTTTTTGATCCCTAAACATTTTAGTTGTAGTGCCTGTAAACATGCATAAAGCGATGCTACATCCTGTGTGTACAGCAGCCTATCTGATTGCTTGTACACTCACAGACTGCAGTTGCAGCCCAGTGTCCCTGATCACTGCCCCAGTGCAGGGACAATAAACAATGCAGCCAGACCATGTCATCTGTCCCAGTGCTCGCAAAAAAACCACCATACACCATACCAATGTCCTTATCAGCGCCATGATCACTGCCATACCCCATACCAGTGTCCTGATCACAACCATACCCCATACCAGCATCCTGATCACTGCCATACCCCATACCAGCATCCTGATCACTGCCATACCCCATACCAGCATCCTGATCACCACCATATAACATACAAGTGCCCTGGTCACCGCCATTATTACCTATACCAGCGGTCTGATCACTGCCATACCCAATACCAGCGTCCTGATCACCACCATACCCCATACCAGTGTTCTGATCACCGCCATAACCCCATACCAGTGTTCTGATCACCGCCATAACCCCATACCAGTGTTCTGATCACCGCCATAACCCCATACCAGTGTTCTGATCACCGCCATAACCCATACCAGTGTTCTGATCACTGCCATAACCCCATACCAGTGTTCTGATCACCACCATAACCATGCTAGCGTTCTGATCACTGCCATACCCCATACCAGCATCCTGATCACCACCATACCCCATACTAGCATCCTGATCACCACCATAACCCATACCAGCATCCTGATCACCGCCATAACCCATACCAGCATTCTGATCACCGCCATACCCCATACCAGCGTTCTGATCACCTCCATACCACACACCAGCGTTCTGATCATCGCCGTACCCCATACCAGCATCCTGATCACCACCATAGCCCATACCAGCATCCAGATCACCACCATAGCCCATACCAGCGTTCTGATTACCACCATACCTTATACCAGCGTTCTGATCACCGCCATACCCCATACCAGCATTCTGATCACCACCATACCCCATACCAGAATTCTGATCACCGCCATAACCCATACCAGCATCCTGATCACCGCCATACCCCATACCAGTGTTCTGATCACTGCCATAACCCATACCAGCATCCTGATCACTGCCATAACCCATACCAGCATCTGATCACCATTGCCATACCCCATACCAGCGTTCCGATCACAGCCATACGCCATACCAGCATTCTGATCACCACCATAACCCATACCAGCATCCAGATCACCACCATACCCCATACCAGTGTTCTGATTACCACCATACCCTTATACAGCGTTCTGATCACCCTATATGTCATACCAGTGTCTGGATCACTGCCATACCCCATACCAGTGTCCAGATCACTGCCATACACCATACCAACATCCCGATCAATCGCATACTTCATACCAGGGTCCTGAATAATGCTATACCCCATACCAGCATCCTGATCAATGCCATACCCCATACCAGCGTCCTGGTCAATGCCATACCCCAAACCAGCGTCCTGGTCAATGCCATACCCCAAACCAGCGTCCTGGTCAATTCCATACCCCATACCAGCATCCTGATCAATGATATACCCCATACCAGCGTTCTTATCAATGCTATACCCCATACCAGTGTCCTGGTCAATGCTATAACCAATACCAGTGTCCTGGTCAGAGCTATAACCCATACCAGTGTCCTGGTCAATGCTATACCCCATATCAGAGTCCTGGTCAATGCAATACCCCATACCAGAGTCCTGGTCAATGCAATACCCCATACCAGAGTCCTGGTCAATGCAATACCCCATACCAGAGTCCTGGTCAATGCAATACCCCATACCAGAGTCCTGGTCAATGCTATATACCCCATACCAGAGTCCTGGTCAATGCTATACCCCATACCAGCGTCCTGGTCAATGCTATACCCCATACCAGCGTCCTGGTCAATGCTATACCCCATACCAGCGTCCTGGTCAATGTTATACCCCATACCAGCGTCCTGGTCAATGCTATAACCCATACCAGCATCCTGAATAAATGCTATACCCCATACCAGTGTCCTGAATAAAGCTATACCCCATACCAGTGTCCTGTTCGCTACCATACCTCATGCCAACATCCTGATTACTGCCATACATCATACGAGTGTCCTGATCACTGTGATATGCCATTCTAGCGTCTGGCATTTTAAGGTCCCAATCAGTTTTCAGATATATACCCCTTAGTTTGTAAGCAAAAGATACAAACTTTTTTTTTAACATTTTCAGTATTTTTTTTTATTTATATAGCAAAAAATTAAAAACGCAGTGGTGATTAAATACCACTAAAAGAAAGGTCTATCTGTGTGGAAAAAAATGATACAAAATGTCATATGAGTACAGTGTTATGGGGTGGGCGGAAGGGGCGACTGCACTAGGCGCAATCTTGTGAGGATGGAGGGCGCTGGATTTTGACCTGCACCATGCAGAAGAAACTCTCCACCAAATCGCATGGTTGTCACACAGCCCTGTGCTCTGAACTCTGCTACCACCGGCACACAGAGCTAAGATCGGGCCTGTGCGCATTGTGTGCCTCCTCTCTGCAGCAGCAGCCATAGCAGTGTCCACATGTGGGAAGGTCACTCTCTCCCAACTCAGGCTGCGACCAAAGTCTGCCTGGCTGGATCGGGACTCTCACAGTCTGAGCAGAAGTAGGGCCGCGAGGAGCTGGCAAGAGAAAACTCAGCACAGAGCAGCACCGATTGAAGCCCTGCTATGTCCAGAGCTCTCCCCAGGCCTGCCCAGCTAAGAAGTTCCAGATACAAGCCATGGAACCTTCCATTAGGGCAGTGGTTCTCAACCTGTGGGTCGCGACCCCTTTGGGGGTCAAACGACCCTTTCACAAGGGTCGCCTAAGACCATCGGAAAACACATATTTCCGATGTGTACAGAGCAGCTACTGTGTAGAAAGCAGCTGCTGTGTTGAAAGCAGCTACTGTGTTGAAAGCAGCTACTGTGTTGAAAGCAGCGATATTGAAGGTAAAACGACACATGAATTATAATTACTGGGTAAAGAATTTTATGGTTGGGGGGTCACCATAACATGAGGAACTGTATTAAAGGGTCGCGGCATTAGGAAGGTTGAGAACAACTGCATTAGGGTGAAGGGCTGAAATATACTGGATTCTTGTTAGATATAACAGATTAATGAAACTTCCTTTCTGTCGGTCAGACTGTAACCTGTGTTTGGTTATTAATTCCTATTTATCTATATTCAAGTCTGATGAGAATACAGATCAGCACAACTACACTACTTCCCAGGATAGTAGATTTGCCCTTCAGAGGATTTACCCCCCAGCCTGATCAGGTAATTTTTTTTGCGATTCTGCGCTGCGTTGCTTTAACTAACAATTGCGCGGTCATGCAACGCTGCACCCAAATTAAATTTGTGTCCTTTTTTCCCACAAATAGCTTTCCTTCGTGGTATTTGATCTCTCCTGCGTTTTTTATTTTTTTGCACTATAAACAAAAAAAGTTTGAGAAAAAAATATATTTTTGATGTTTTACTATTAAACATGTCCAGTAAAAATATTTAAAACATCAAATTTCATCATAAATTTAGGTCAAAATGTATTCTGCTACGTCTTTGCTACAAAAAAAATCCCAAAACGTGTAAATTAATTGGTTTACGTCAAAGTTATAGCGTCTACAAATGGCAGCATGTATACTGGAATTTTTTTTTTATATACTAGTAATGGCGGCGATCAGCAACTTATAACAGGACTGCGGTATTCTGACACTGGGGGGAACTAACTGTCACTGACATCCCTAGTGACACTGATACAGTGATCAGTGCTAATAAAAATTTGTGCTGACAAATTCCAGTACTGTATATATACTGCCATTTGTAGACACTATAACTTTCACATAAACCCATTACTTTATATGTATTGGGATTTTTTTTTTATATCAAAGACGTGTAACAGAATACATTCTGTCCTAAATTTATGACGAAATTTGATTTTTAATTTTTTTTTTTTTTACTGGATATTTTTTGGCAAAAATATAGTTTTTTTTCAAAATGTTTTTGTTTATAGCGCAAAAAAAACACAGGCGACCATTTGTGGGGGAAAAAAAAGGACATACATTTAATTTGAGTGCAGCATTGCACGACAGCGCAATTATCAGTTAAAGTAAAATAGAGCCGTATCCCAAAAAATGTCCTGGTCAGGAAGGGGGGGAAATCCTGATTTCTTAATCTCGGTGCCGGTGCCTCCCGGCCCTTTAAGAGTTTCAGAAGCCGGGAGGCGGGGCTTTAGGGTCATGTGATTGCCCTGAGTTGTCGTCATGGCGGTCATATGATTGGAAAAGGTCCCGATCGAAAGGGGAGATTGGGACCTTTCCGGGAGTTGCGGACATATGTGCTGGGAGCGCGCGCGCTCTCAGCACATGTATTTTCTAATTGCACGCAAATATGCGGTCGCTCGTCGTCAAGGCCCAGACGCCAAAAGAGGCCACATATTTGCGTGCCATCGGCGTCAAGGGGTAAGGTGCAGCCCACTGATCTGATCGCCCTTGCTGGATGCCTGTGGTATCCCTCACATAATAATGAAACCCTTAATGATCAGATCAGCTGTACCTGGGAATTAGGTCTCAGCATTTGTTAAACTGCTGCAAGATGCAGTCAGAGGAAATTTTGTAATATGCACTGCCTGTAACAGAGGATAGGGAACGTTGCCACCAAATTTTGAAATTCCTTGTGCAAACCTCCATGCAGGAGTTAACAATATAAACCTGTACCTATGATGGTTTGTTAAGGCCTGCTGGTTACACCCTCCAAGCTAATATGGTGTTCACCTCTTCTTGGCCAGCAGCAGCTGTAATTTACCACAGGGAAGGCTTGGACTTGCTCCTACCAGTTTATGGACTAGCTAAACCTTCTCATACTTATGTCAAAGGATGGGGGAATTCCCTGAAATGACTAAATATGCAGCATTAGGATGACTCCTATTTTGCACCTATTCCAAACCAAAACCTTTGGTGTGGTTCAAGCCTAGTGGTGGAAACTATATCTATTGCTGGTTACCAACAGCTACTTAGATTTCCATCATCACCTTAGATTACCATCATCCAGGACCCTCCACTGGATAAATAGATAGATAGATAGATAGATAGATAGATAGATAGATAGATAGATAGATAGATAGATAGATAGATAGATACAGTTGCAAGAAAAAGTATGTGAACTCCTTGGGATTACGTGGAGTTTTGCATGAATTGGGCATAAAATGTGCTCTGAACGTCATCTAAGTCACAACAATAGAAGAACACAGTCTGCTGAACATAATACTACACAAACATTAGATGTTGCCATGGTCTAATTACACATACCATGTAAACATTCAAAGTGCAAGGAGGAAAAAGTATGTGAACCTTTGGACTTAATAACTGGTTGACCTCCTTTGGCAGCAATAACCTCAACCAAAACGTTTCCTGTAGTTGCAGATCAGACCTGCACAACGATCTGGAGTAATTTTGGACCACTCCTCTTCACAAAACTGTTTCAGTGTAGCAATATTCTTGGGATGTCTGGTGTGAATTGCTCTCTTAAGGTCATGCCACAGCATTTCAATCGGGGTTGAGGTCAGGACTCTGACTGGGCCACTCCAGAAGGCGTATTCTGTGCTGTTGCAGCCATTGTTTTGTTGAATTACTTGAATGCTTTGGGTCATTGTCCTGTTGCATCACCCATCCTCTGCGGAGCTTCAGTTCTGGAATTCATTTTCCCATCAATGACAACAATCCGTCCAGGCCCTGAGGCAGCAAAGCAGCTCCAAACCATGATGGTCTCTCCGCCATGTTTTACAGTGGGGGATGAGGTTTTGATGTTGGTATGCTGTGCTTTTTTTTCTCCACACATAGTGTTGTGTGTTCTTCCCAAACAACTCAATCTTGGTTTCATCTGTCCACAGTATATTTTGCCAGCAGTGCTGTGGAACATTCAGGTGCTCTTTTGCAAACTTCAAACGTGCTGCAATATTCTTTTTGGACAGCTATGGCTTCCTCCGTGGTGTCCTCCCATGTACTCCATTCTTGTTTAAATGTTTTC